TCTTTTTGGAGGACGAATACGGACCCAAAACTTTATAGTTTTGGATTTTATTACTGCAAGGCTACTAAGTGACTCCATGTTATGTGTTTTGTTGTAAAAATCAGTCCATCTGATGCTTTAAATGTCCAAAATTAGCGCAACGTGACAAATGTTTTGTTTTTTGGCGTTTCCAGGCAGAAGAAATCTGACGCCATAGAGGTCATTCAAGTGAGTTGTGAGTCGTCAGAAATTGACCTACTTTAATGAAATTCACACACATTGATAGCGTATTGGCGCAGAATAAAACCCTTGAAGCATTTTTTGATAACTTCTCACAATAAAAAATAAAAGGCTTTTAAATTCCTTGTCTATGGGTGAAATAACAGGAAAAATGTAAATTGGTGTCATTGTAAACAAATATGCAATCTATGTTCAAACACTCTCGAGGCATTGACGGGGCTGATGCTGCCTTGATTTTTCAGCTTTCTTTTTTTACAAACCCCTACGGTTTTTATACAAAACTCATTTTTATTCAAAATAACACCTCTATGTTCACTCAGTAATCACGTGACTAATTCGTGGTACATGTCACAGATCATTTTTTTCAAAAAGCCAGGAACAAGGGCTTCAAGAAAATATATAATTTGCGATGCTTCAAAACACTTTTCCCCATGAAAACAGTTTTTACTTTTTAGAGCATGATAACTCTACCGCATCCTTAATGCATTGACAGCCATAATGCAATAAACACATGTGACAGTGGATTTTTGTTAGGAATACACATAAAACATGATAGTTATGCAAAATAAATGTACTCTGGTCACATTGGGTTTGTGAAGAACATTGTGTATATGATATTTTTTTGGTATTTAGATTTTTAAAAAAGTTTTAAACAGAAACTAATTAGGAAATATATATTTTACTTCATAACAAAACTTACTCCTGACTATTTTCGGGCTCCACTCTGTAAAAAAAAAAACATTGCAAATCATATACAAATTAATTCATGGGTTACTGATTGATCTATGCTAGGATATTCTACCACCAATACAAACAACAAAACTCATGCATATATGTACCAACAAGAAATAAACAAAACATGCTTCATGCTAAGTGAAATTACCATGCAGAAAATAGCAAAACATGATAAATGGTATACTTAGAAATTATTAGGAAATACAAAAAATAGATTTGTTTCTGGTTAACCCACATCTTAATTTGAAAGCTGCATATCACATTTGATTGGGGGGGGGGGGTCAAAATATTGAAAAGAAAAAAAATACATGTACACAATTTTAAAAGAAAAAAGGGTATTTCATCATACTTTTTTTAGGACAAGAAACAAATCTTACAGTTTTTCGCCTTACAAGTCAGGAAGACTGAGTCAAATTACATCACTAGCACATTGGCCACCATTTCTGGTTCAATAATTGGATTCATGCAATTGATTCAGGATGTATTTTGATTCCGGTCATAATTAAGTTGAGTTAAGTTTTTGCTTGTTTGTTACTACAGAGACTGAAACTGAGTTTTTAGCCGTTCAGTTGGCCTATTCTGCCAGGCCAGATGAATCAGTTGGCCGTAACATTAAATTTTCCTTGACAATTAGAGATAAGTTATGCGACAACAGATTTATTAGGTCTTGCAGTTGTACAGTGAGAGCAACTCAGTGGCAGAAAACTCAGTGGTTTCTGCAGTAATGAAGCACCAAAGATTGATTACCCAACATTATTTGACTACTAGCTTTGGTAATGGGTAACCCAGTAAGACGAAAAAGACACAAGACATGTTAATTTGTATCATCTCACAATTTTTAAAGCATCTCATAGGACATACAGCAGTGTCCCGTGCAAACAGCCACTCAAATGTAAAAAATATTCAATTGTAAGCATGTTGTTGTAGAATTGTGAGGGCACTCATTTTCGAGTCATTGAAATTCTGTAGTGAACATTTCGGGAACCAAAGCAGTCACGTTGGGCATATAGGCAATTGCCTTAAAGCAGGGCTTGAGTTGAGAGGGCATTCTTTTTCAAGAACAACTGCAAATATTGAAGGACACCAAGGAAATATAACAGCATTTGATGCCTCAGCGATTTTCAAGCACTGCCTCCATAGCCTCCAGGAACTTCAAGACCTGTTTTGGTTACAACAGGGCTACACATTTGAATCTATACTTGATATCAAACAATCTGACAAACACTATAGAGGTCATGCAACCAAACAGCCCATTGTAATTTTAACTTTTAACACATTAACATTCTATGCAAATAATAAACAGAATTATTACCCAGGGACTGGTGGTTCTGATGCCTCATTCTTTGCTTTTTTCTCATCTTCTGCAATGAAATAAATTATAGAATCATGATTATTGTTATACTAAAGGTATTTTTAGTCAGCTTACCCTCATTGTTAATGAGTAGTGTGACTAACACTAAAATAAAAGCATTGACCGTTCATGGTACAACAACAGTAGTGACGACACATAATTAGTCTAACATTGCATGGTTCACATAAAATTTGTAATGCATTACATGATGGATTACAAACAACTACTATTTATTTGTTACTTATTTCTTCCAATGTATGCCATGGCACAACACATGTGGCTTTATCAACAAATTTACGAAATACAAAACTCTGGTTTTCACAATGAATTATGTTCAACTCATTTTCACTTTAGCACATAATCACATTTATTGCCACAACAGCAAAAGTATGAATATTCACAGTCTCTATCATAAAGGGAATATGATCAATTATAACTTATTAGTTAAATTTGATAATGTTTTGGTTTGTTTAATGTTAAACACACCTAGACAGACAATGGCTTCAAAGGAGAAAATTAAACTGTAATTTTGATGAAAATAAATCTTTATCGACCCAAAGAAAGTACTAAATAGATTTGACTATAGTCCCTCAACACTAAATGTGGTTCTACAAGTTTAGAAAATAATAAGTTATGTCAGGAATTTATAAGATAAGGCTTTGCAATTTCCATGACGATGCACAGTGATATGCAATAAAGATCTCACGAGAAGAGAATTCACACTTTGCGAGCATTCAAATGCAACCCTGTTTAGTGCGTGTCAAGCCAAAGTAGTTCTAAACAATATAGTCATAGAAAAAGTATTACAAGCTTTGCAAATAAGCCAGAAAACTACAAAAAACGGGTTTGACATGAACACGAATCAGTTCACGAATCAGTTCTTGTCTCAATACTTGTAAATTGAGATTTCTAGAAATGTGGGTTTCTCTTGCGATTTTGTGATTATCTCACAATTCGCAAGACTTCTTAAATTCGCGTGAGATCTTCGTCGCATATCACACCTTTACATACTCTTATCTGTATTCGAATAAACCTTTGGTTGTGTTTATTTATTTACTAGTATTTTTGGCCGAGCTCGTGTTGACGACTCACAGATTGTTGTCGTGCATGCAGGTGAGTATACATGGTCATAATTAATACAGACGACACAAAAAGCTAACACCGAAGAATAAAATAGATCTCGCTACGAGTGTAGTTACCACGTTCACACAGACGACTCCATTCAGATTGGATCGGCATCCAACGCTTGTGGCGGTGGATGACACGACTGTTCGATCAAGAATTATGGACGATCTGAACAGTTAAGTACGACCGTTATAAAACATGAAGGTGTCTCCCGCAATCCGGGATACAACAAACAAACGTTTAATATTTAAAAATAGCAAAATAGTGAAGTAGGGAATGTGTCATTCGCCGAAATCTTTACCTCCATACAACCATTGTTCCTCGTCTTCGTCGGCCATTTTGATACTGCAGACATGTTGAGCACTAAAGCATGCCGGGAAAACGGTAGGCGAATCTGAGCAAACCATTTTGAAATAGGTGTGTTCGATATTATTTCACTGCGAAAAATTGACACAAGACGCAAGATCTTTCTTTCAAAATGTACTTTAATTTAATAAATATAACTTTTTAAATAATCACAAATTGTTGCAGCGCTGTCACAATTGTATGCTAGAACACCCATCCACTTAAAATAGAATAAACCAATTACGAACTATTCCGAGTTACTTGCGAAAATGATCGATTGATGATTCAAGATGGCAGCCCCCATGACATTCAATGATTCTTGATATATGTTCAGTTTTCGACATTATTCTGCACACAAATGGTTAAATTGACTCGAAAACATTGAATCTGAAGGTTTGTCCCCAAGAGTCAAGCGATTGACTATTGTATCTGTACTGTTGTTACCGCATTTCGGATGACTACCAGCCACTCCGCTCCCAGCATGTTGATGAGCGTCCTCTTGTTGAGATGGTCAGAGGTCATTGAACTTCTAGGATTGTTTTGACTGGAAATTCCACAGTTACAAGTAATATGTTTTGCGTCCCTTTTTACGTTTCAAGTAGGCCACTACTGTGTTTATCAAGACGTTTGGTGTTTAGAGCACAAGCCCAAATAGTGCCATTCCGCACATTTTGTCTTGTTGGTCCAGATACCAGTAACAAATTGAATCTGTCACGAAGACATTGCCCACCGTATGTGTTCATCCCAACAACGTCAACTATGGGAAGAGGTTTGTCCTCCACATCAGAAGCTGACCCGCCACCCATGGCCATGGCTGAATTCCCAGAACCCCACGCTGATGATGAAGAGGACGGCTTGAAAAAGAAGAAGAAGAAACAGCGAGTCACAATGGGGAGCATAGGGAGAAAAATACATCATAAAATTCTACATCTTCTAGACGAGAACGGGGATAGTTTGGGACCTACACATAGAGCAGAGGCCATCAGATTAGCAGAATGGAAGAAATTAAAACTGATTCCGGTGAACTTAAATGCTCAACCAGACCCAGTGTATAAACTGATGTCTGGACAGGAACTTCTTAAAGAACGGATTCGATTAGAAGAGAAAGAAAAGGCTAAGAAAAAGCCAACAAGTATGAAAGAAGTTAAGTTTTCAGGGAACATAACTGATCATGATCTTGAAAACAAGAAAAAGCAAATCCAAGCATGGCTTCATAAGAAACATCATGTGAGGGTAACTATTTTCAACGAAAGAAGAAAGCTACAAACTGATTGGGAAAGTAAGGTAAATTGACCAATCACTAGTTTCAAAAATAGTGGCAGTCCACTCTTCTAACTTGAAATATAATTTATTAGAAGCTGCTCATGGTGGCTTTATTTACTTATACTACCTTATGTTATTAATCTTATCACATCATTGTATTCCTTGATTGTTTAGGTATATAGTAAAGGGCAGAATGCCGTGGTGGTTATAAACATTTTATAAATACAATGTGTACACTACTATAAATCTAAATGAATGATAATTATTAAAATTCAAATTGCCCAATCAGGAAATGGTATTGTTACATCAATGTTAATTCAGTTAATATTAATGAGATATTTTAACATTATCCAATCAGCAAGTGCCTCTATTTGAATATGTGAGAAATCTCATTTACTATGTTGCATTATGGGTGTAGATAATGTTTTGCTTTGAGCCACTCACTATTGAATGTTAGAATTTGAATGAAATCTGATGATCGGCTTTTGCCATTTTTTATTTACCAAGCCCTAGCTCTGTACATTTCACTATATTTGTAAAACAGCATGTGTATGTCATTTTTATTTAACTGTACATAATTTCCCGTTACAAGAACAGTACAAACTAATTCTTGATTTTGCTCTTGTAGGAGAAATTGATTGAGCAGATTTTGGAAGATGTAAAAGATGTAGCAATATTAAATTCCAAAGCAAAAGCCTTTGGCAAAGATGGACAAGATCTACAGTGTATGTTACGACTCATGTCAGTCAAAGAGAAAGCACAATACAAGAAAAACATTAAAGAACAGGAGGAACAAGTAAAAGAAGTTGAGAACAATACATGTGACGATGTTCCAAAATGAACACTGGCGTACATTGCAATCATGCTACTGAAGAGTGACTTAAGTGTGCTCTGAGGACAGTACGAAACTGTGTCTAAATGTGCCCTGAAGGCATCGCTGAATAGTGAACACTGGCGTATGGTGTAATCATGGTACTGAAAAGTGACTTAAGTGTGCTCTGAGGACAGTACGAAACTGTGTCTAAATGTGCCCTGAAGGCATCGCTGAATAGTGAACATTGGCATATGCTGTATTCATAGTGGTGAACAGAGATGGCTAAGTGTGTTATGAGGAAAGCACTAAACTGTGAACAGTGAATATCAGCATTATGCTGGATACCTTGTATAGTAGGCATGTTGCTGAACAGTGAACATGGTGTAGCTTGTAGACATTTCTATGCATTTTCAAAACATGGTTTGTTATTATACTGTGGCACATCTTTGCTGTGTCCTGCATGTGGATATAAAGCTAGGATAAAATACAAATAAGTTTTTGTATCAATGGAATTTGAAAATAAGTCACTGAGGTGTTGGTTTTTTTTGACACATGACTTTGAGAGAGATGCTGGATGCAACTTTGAACTATCACAAGACACTGAAATTTTGATTGAAATAAAAGGAATTTTCACTCAACTCTTTTTTGGCAATACAGATATGTTTCATATTTAAATGATTCAATAAACAACAACAAAATATGGTAGGGGACTTCAACTACCCTGTAATAAGCTATTTGTCCATAACATTTTTGCTTGGGTTTGGAATTAACAAAACTCAGACTTTGCTAAATTAATCCAGTCCAGGAAAATCATGAAATTGTGTAGAAACAAAATTTAGCATGCAATATTTTATGACTTTTGTGTAATTTAATATTTGCTTCATGACTACAATTGTGAATATTCCTGACAGAAAATAAATTGAATAGTTATTATATTGCTATCATTTCATCACAATCATTTCCAAAAAAAGATAAATTGATATTCTCTAGAGCTAGGTCAAAGAATGTTCCATGTTGCTTGTACGCTCATCACAATGTATCATGTATTTCTATAGGCTCTGTGTGAGCTGTCTCAGGAACACTGTCAACAGCTAGCCAGTATTTATGAGATGATATATACTGTAATGTTTTTGTGTTTTTTTCTAATAAGAAACGTATATGGTAGATGTGAAAGATAAGTTTGTATGTATTTATTTCTTAAAGCATAAATCTTTTGTCAAAGAGCCTTGCAAGATGCAAAAATATGTGATTTGTCTCTGCCATACTGGCTCAATAATACATGCTGAGTAATCAAAGTTTAATCACGCTGCCATCTAACAAAGATATATTTACAAATCTGTAACAATACTATAGTAAGTATGGTATAGCCAAATACAACACTCAAAAGTTGACTGTACTAGGCTGGATACAAGTGTAATTAATTATCACATATTATAAAATTAACTGACAATATTAGTGCCAAACTTAATAGTGGTGATAACCCTGTAACACATGACTGAAAATTAAAGTGCTCTTCATTGTCTGGTAAAACATAATATAAAAAATGTCTATTAATGGTACAAGTATGTATCTGGTCATGTGGTATGCTGTAATACAAATACCTGACTTGCAAGAGATTTAATATGTGAAACAAGAGTATAAACTCACCGATTCAGAAAATAGCATACTGTAAAATACTTTATTTTGGCTGCAATTAATTTTCGCTGTAAAGACTTTTTGTGTGTTATGTGCAGAATTTCTTTCACCAATTTTTGTTGAGTTGAATGTAAAATGTATGAAAAAAGGTATACTCACTGGATTTTATTTTCCCAGAATCATTTCTTAAGCTGAAATAAAGTATTTTACAGTATGTAGAATCATTTGTCAAAAAACAATTCTGATTACCTACCTTGTATTAGCATCGATGATGGGCAAGGGATGGGAGAAAATGTTGTAATAATTACGCTATGTTTCAACTAAGAGTATTCTGGGAACAAATTGAAGAAGAAGAACCCTCATGAACCATTGATATATCAGTGGTGAAAGCATCCGTGTTTAGCAAGTATACGCGACTGATATGATATATATACATAGTCAGCTGAAACGGCGTCTGGTGACATCGAATGCTAAAATGAACAGCGCTTGGTCAGGAATGTCAAAATCAAGAACCACTTTATCGAACCACTCATTTAGCTCAAATATCAATCCGTGGTCATTACCAAGTCAGATTACGGAAACGTGATTTTAGTTTCTTATACATGTATATATTTTTCGTAGTTTTGTCAGTATAAAATGTTTCTTAAATATTGTATTAAGGTACATTCATTATAAAACACAGCGTTTTATTAGGACACAATTATTCATTTCCTTATCCAGCTCTTTAGTGAACACAATTGATTTAGATTTGTGATGAACTTCATGTCGTATTCTGTAATGTCCACCAGTGTTCTCCAAATCATCATGTGTTATGTTCACTGGTAGCATAGTGGTTGTCGCATCAGACTCATTGTCGGTAGACCCACGTTCAAACCCCTCCTTAGGCTGAACATCAATAGGGTCGACCCCTACCCTGGGTGAGTGTGCCACAGACTCAATGGGAAGGCCAATTCCACTGGCCTAACGAACGAATGCGACTTTGGGGAACCTTGCTTAAGGTCCACAGGTGCTTGTGTTCGACCAAGCCTGGTTGACACCAGGATAGCGCATTAAAATTGCCGTTTGATAGGGAGGTGGCCGCATAGCCCTGCCATGTAGTCTCAAATAGGAAATGAATGCTGTGGCAAAATGCCCCACGTATCTGCACAGCAGTTTTTACAAAAAAAGTCAGAAGAGACAACAGTGGCATTCAATATCCGGAACTGTCGCCTGGGACAAAAACATCAGAACCTCTTCTAATGTATAGACGGTGGGTGGTTCATGTAAGCATGTATAGTTTATAGTTCCATGATGTATTAAGTATTAAGTAGCAGCATTGTGGACATAATAACGAGCTAGTCGGTAATGCTGGTTATACTCCCCGGAGGAGTACTTTCTACACGAATTTATGAGCCCATATTCGTGATCATTCTCGAATTCACTGTCCTCTGCATATATTCTCTCTTCTCTTTGTTATGAAGGACTCTAAAATTACCATATTTCAAGAAACACTTCTTTGTGAAGAAAATATTGAGTGTAAACTTGATGAACAATAAGATAATACTGAAATTGTGCCAATGCCCATCGTTGTCAAATCGTATATTGACAGTAAATTTTACTGAAACAACAAATTTAAAGTGGACTGCAAATACCTTCATTGTAATTAATTTTATAATATTGCGAAAGCAAGTTATATTATTAACTAATATAGTTTTATTGAGACGTTAAATTAACCACAGTCACCTATATTTTGCAATCATCGCAGACAACAAGATATTAATGGCAATTCGTACGTTTGGTGTGCTGTTGATTCTTGACATGGAATTCAAGGTCAGTATTTGAGTGGATATAAATATTGTACCATAGATTGACAACAAAACTTCTTCGGTAGCACTCATTAGAAGGAGCGCCCGATAAAGGGGACGTACACCGAACAACCTACGCCGGTCTGAACATGTTGGGCCAATTGTTGATTTCAATTGGATAGGATAGGATATTTTATTTGGCACGTACACAATACAGAGCTAGTGTAAAGTCCAAAATAACACAAACAAAATAAAACAATTCTAAAACATGAAAAACAAATTTTGCTAGACTACTACAAATAAAAAGATCAGAACTTGAAAAAATCAAAACAAAAATATCCTCTCTAGCTAATAGTTGTAGACTAGGCGAACAAACATAGATTGCTGTAAATAATGTATTTCTTAATTCCCTAATTTTGTCATGATTACATCTGAAAAGGTAACGTTTTTCATCACCAACTTCATTACAGTTACACAGATGACAGAATCTGTCTTCTCTTTTAATGCCTCTATGTCGACCTTTTTCGACTGGTAGCTGAATGGCTGAAATCCTGAATTTGATTAGAGCATTTCTAAATTTCCTGTTTTTTTTTTTTTTTTTTGTATTTTAATATATTTTTTATTGGGTACTCATAAAAATTTACATATCTGTGAATAAAGTGGTTATGCTTACATTCCTGTATAACTCAAAGTTTTTCAAAGTGACATTTCTCAAAGCTTCAGAAGAGGAATAGTTTATTGCTCAAACCCAGAACCTTTATGTTTGCTTTTGGTTCACATGGACGGATTTTTTCCCTAAGATCACTATATTCACTAGATTGCTACTTGTCTATCTCATTCAGTTCTAGTTCATACCATTTT